TTTTTTTTTTTACTTTTCTCTGTAACTGTAGGCAATGCTATTTTCTCTCTCAATTGTAATGTACTGAATTTGTTATCGACCTTGATTGTTTCCTTTCTCACATTTACTTCCCGGATTTCCCTTTCTCATGATATTTTTCCTCTCATTTTTTTGCTATGGATAAAAAGATGTCAAAGATTTCTTTCTCGGTTTCTAGGTACTCCATGAATCTCTATTATATACTAGCCAAATAAGTCTCAATTAAAGAACTAAAATAAGAATCAAGGAAATAACATTCTGATTATCTTAGTGAATCTGGAATTTACTCCTAACAAGATATAAGTTTTAGGAAAGTCATGCTCAAGTAAGAAAAGGAGCAAATGAATTAATATTCCTCCTCGAACATTTTTAAATAAACTGAAGTTTTGCAACATTAGATTTTCTTTATCTTTTCTTAAAATGTAAATATAGAATCCACTTTTTATCAGCATTGCAGTCTCAAATTGTTTTATGCAGTGGTGGATGCCAGTATGCCTTTTTTCTTTCTGTAATCTACTTTGTGTTTTTCGATGCCAGGTTAACAATACAGATGCTGAAGGTAGACTCACACTTGCGGATGCACTGGTATATGCTTGTAATCAAGGAGTAGATAAGGTATGCTGAGTAGTAACATTATACGTTGTATTGTTCATCAGTAACCTAAGCATGTATAGTAGTATATTTGTTCCATTCAACCGTGAATATCTTTGTGAAAAGGCTTAATTATCTTAAGTTCCACGACTTTATGAATAATTTTGACATCATGTCTCGTAAAATTAACGATGTCTCAGTTCATGGCTTCTTAGTAACAGGGACACCTGATTTTTGCAAAGGCTTATTGTAACTTAAACTATTTTGTATTTTTGTGAAGTTTAATGGTCATATAATGGCTTAACGTTTTGATAGTCCGGAAAAAAGTTTCCGATTTCCTTTAATGTTATGAAATCGTTTTCTATGGTTTAAATTATAAGTTAAAAATTTTCTTCAATCATAGTGTTCATTTTAATAAATACTTGATAGGTGTCATTAATGGCGGATGGCGGTACATGGCGTTTTGCCAAAATTCCGCCATTGGCTGCCGCCGTGGTGGTCTATGGCGCCGCCATGGCCGCCATCATTCACAAATCTTTCATGGCGGATTGTCAAAAATCCGCCACGCCATACTGCCATGGCCGCCATTTGATAACACTGCTTGATACACGTCTTAGTAAATTTATACAAACATTTTAATAACACTGCTTCAAAAATAATGTATTGTCACGTGTCCTACAATACATACACTTTGGACAGGTGTGTCAATACATTAAGTATGGATTGCTCCATAAGAAAACCGTTTGAGTTACATTTTAGAAACGCATTGAGAACTAGTTCAGAAATGCTCACACATAAATGTGGTTCAACTAGTTTGCATTTGCACAAGGATATAATATGTTAGCTATTTTACAATGTCTCGTAATATTTTACGGTCTCTCAACCCATGGGTTCTTAGTAACAGGGACTCCTGATTCTGCAATCGCAACTGAAACTCCACTATTTTGTATTTCTGTGAAGTTTAATATGGTGATATAATTAGCTGACATTTTGATAGTCTTGAAGAAAGCTTAGGTAACCAATTTCCTTTAACTTATGAAATCAAAAAAAATTGGAGTTACATTTTGGAAAATCATTGAACTTGTTCAGAAATGCACACACATACATGTGGGTTCAACTAGTTTGCATTCACACACAAGTATATAATATATTTGTAATTCAGTTGAAGTTGAATGTTGACAACAGCTTTATGTTTTTGTGTAGATTGTCGATCTGGCTACACTGACTGGGGCCTGTGTTGTTGGTCTTGGGCCCTCTATTGCTGGTAGGTCATGTGTTGTAAGTTTTCTTTGTAGTTAAATTGCTAAAACTTCCAGATCTTATTTGAGACTTGAAAGCAATGGCAAACTAAATGACGGTGAATAAAAATATTGAAATCCATCTTGGGCTACGTCTCTGGAGCATATTTATCATATTTTCTTCTGTGATATACTTGTATATGTACATTAATGGTAATTTCATGGCCTAATCTTAAAAAAAATACTTATACATCCTATTGCTTTTGCCAATCGGACTGCACCTATTGTGATAATATTGAACATTAAGGATAGTGTTTGGGATTTAACTCCGAGCTGGTTTTGCACTGATTAGATGTTTAGTGACTTTCATTTTACTTGTCAAAATACAGGTGTATTTACGCCAAGCGATGAGCTAGCAAAAGAAGTACTTGGAGCTTCAGAGGTTAGTGGGGAAAAGCTATGGAGGTTGCCATTGGAGGAAAGTTACTGGGAATCAATGAAATCAGGAGTGGCTGATATGGTCAACACAGGTGGCCGTCAAGGTGGGGCAATCACAGCTGCTCTTTTCTTGAAGCAGGTAAAAATAACGAAAAAGAGGCGCTTCAGAACCATTTTTTCTTGCCCTTGTGGTGCGTGTGGTTATTGAAGTGTGTTTATATTAGGTACCCTACACCAAATAAGTTGTTAACGAACATGAAACATTGTTCTTCTATTCATGCTAGCTTTGAGATTAAGCTTAAGCATAAACTAAGGCTACTTTTATTTATATATATAAAAAAAAAAAAGGGAAAAAGAACAACAGGTACAAGCTAATCACATATTTATTTTTAAAAAATGCAATTTTAAAATTAACAAAGATGCTTGATTCTGGGCTGTGGGTTATATTTAAATGGGAAACTTTAATATTCTTCATCTTGTGGAGGGGTCTTGAAATGTTTCTTTGTTATGAAGGAAAATACCCAAGACTTCATGTTTCCTCCCGGGAACCTTGGATGGAATTGTTGTAATTTTTCAAAAGAGTTGACCAAATTTTGCAAAACAAAGTTGATAATATAAAATTAACCATTCATTGCATCTCAAACACTTCTTATAGATCACTATTAACCAAACATGCAACTAGTT